GATTTTAAATTGTATAATGCACTTCCTGCCAATATTAAAAATATGAATATGTTTTGTTTTAAAAAAGTTATAAAAAAATAAAAAAAAACTGTTTTTATTCCACTTCAGAATATTTAGAACATGTGCATAGACACACTTTTGACTCAAGGAAGATGCTCGCCGAACCTCCACACTTTTTTTTGTTAATATGTTATGATGTACCCTGTTAACTTATTACAAATTTTTACTGTTTATTTTATTTTATAGAAAACTTTGTACCTTGCATCTTTTTGTTTTTCTGACTTGTCATAAATGTATTTTATACATAACATGATCAAATAAATATATCTATCTATCGATCTAAAGTGAGTGGGTCTATTCGACCCTCCACCGCAACCCGCAAGGGCTTATTGTGGCACATACCTATTCACATGGCCAAATAAACCCAGCTTCTTAACGAAGCCGATTAATTTGTATGGTGAGTTCAGTTCAGATGGTGAGAATACAGGTCTACCAAACTCTAAGAACCTGATTCGGTCCCCACCGGGGCAGGCACAAAGTATATGCTCTGCTGTTTCATCATTTTCCAGACAGAGGCCCCATAATAGTAACTTATTTTGTCATCTTGATTCGATACTTTGCACTTGTAAATTTACTCTATAACAATTCTTTCAAATAAAATTAAATTCCCTCAGAAAAAACTCATTTCTCTACACTTGAGGCAATGAAAGATTACACATGGTCATCAATAAAATAGGTGATAAAACCAATTATTTTTTGTTGTTTCATAATTTCATGATTTGTATTATTTTCTTCTTTAATTATTCTTGAATATTTATTCAGAAAACTTTCATATAGCATCCTTTTCTTCTACAAATAGAAACAGTTATCGTTTACATTTACTAGAGAGAGCTCTTGTTTAGATGATAGCTTACACTCTGTACATTGCAGATAGCGATAAAAACGTGAATCATAAATTTCACTACCAATTGATGGCTTTTTAGTATCGTCTGACAGATTAATGTATGAAAGAAGTTCATTTGCTACATTTAAAAAAATAATTTTACTGTTTCAGGTTTCATGATTTGAATGCAAAGCCTGGGAGAAGGCTATCTTGGAAAAAGAAAGCCTGTCTTCATCTGGCTTTCACGTTATTATTTGCAATGCAAGTCAGTATGGCATATATGTTCTGGTTGGCGTACGGTACTATGGCGTTCATTTTGGGACCCCTGCGAACGTGGTCTCTGGTTCTGGCAGCAATTCTGTATTACCAATCTTTCCATCTTCCCGAAAGCTGTTTGAGGTTTGTCAATATGAAGTTTTGAACATGTTTTATTACCTCACAAATTTCAACAGTCGTTGTTTTGCACATTTTGTTCTAGTTCATCTGAAACTTTCATACTGTATTGCGATATTTTTGTTTATTGTAGGAAAGCCTCCGATATTTGGCACGTGTCTTCAGATGTTAGTATTAACGAGCCCAGCGCATCTCCATTAACGAAAGCTAACTGATCCCACTCCTGATAACTTACCGACTGATGTATAGGATTTATTTTTCCTACTCTTCCCACGTAAACAGTTTGCTAAAGATGTAGTTCAATTATATTTTATTTATTTGTAATATAAACCTACTGTGTGTTGTGATTTGTTTGTTATTTGGTTTTACGGGGAAGACTCATATGATATCCCAAAAAAAACACTTGAGTGAATTTTTGAATAAAATATATTAAAATGTCTTGAACCATGAAGCTAGCGTCTGTAAGGATCTATAGGCACATCCCCAACCGTCGTCATCCATCCCTTTTTGGCAGTAGTGATAGTATTCGTATTTTCCTTTCACAAGAGCCACTGTTCCTCCTGAAAAATGAAAGTCCACCGTTTTATCAAAACATTTGGTCCTTCGAGCCAGATAATGGCATTTAATCACACACAAAACATATGCACAACAATGTGTTAGCATGGCCAACACAACACAGTTCTTGCACAAACAAAATGTTAATTGTGACTAAGCAAAATCTACAGGGTCCTTTTTGCAGCCTCTAAATGTATTTAAAAAAAATAAAAATTAACGGATTTTTCAAAAAAAATATTCAAGTTTCTTGTAAATTTGATCAATGCCTTGCATAATATTGACGAAACTATTCATAAATTGTTCAAGGTAAGGTTCATGAAAGGAATTTTGAAGTATCTATAAGTTCTTCAATAGAATGTTTCTTAAACAAAAAATTACCATTGTCGGTAGGCTTAATTCCTTCGTGAGGATTTATCAAGGGACCATTGTTGCCACTGTCAGTGTTGAAACAGTATTTATTTGCTCTACGGAATGCTGGTGATACAAAATCTAACAGCAACTGCCTATGGAGGAGATGACGATAAGCCTCTGTAAAGATCAAGAAATAAGTTGAGAATCAAATTCAATTAGAACCAAAGTCTAATTATGAGTTTTTAACTTACGTAAAGATGCCTCCGTCTCATTTTTCGGATACAGAATCGTGACGAAGTGCCCACATTCTGGAGGCAGGAAATGATAAGTTTCAACAGCTAAGCTCCTACTTTTCTTATTCGAACTGAGAAGTTCTTTGCATAGTTTCGTTTGAAATAACTGTAGATATTTTTCAACGCTTTTCAATAATATATCATACAGGTTAGACAGTTTTGTTTGGGTAGGAATCATCGCTAAAGAGTCTACTCTAATTGTCATATCAACTACCTCCTGTTGAACTGAAAGAATTCAAATATTGAGATTTAAGACCAATTGGTACTTGACTACCATATCTCTCATTTTTTCGTGAAGAAAACAATTCATTAGGGGTAAAATATTAAAGAGTCGGAGAACAAAAATATCAATACTAATTGAAAATCTTTCAAAATTTATTGTGTTTCATTAAAACAAATATTTATCATCACATGAAAATTTCAGTCTCATCTTACTTTTATCCAAAACACATAAAGGTGCATGCTCTTTAATCAAACCATTTTGACTTTTTGTAACAGGTCTCAATATATCCATTTCAAGTATTCTTATTGTAGATTTTGAAATATTTCTCTTTCTGCTTGATTCTTCATTGAAAGAATTGGAATCTTTACAAACTTCACCAATATCAATATCTCCATCAATTCCAATTATATTGTTGTCAGATTGAGGATCCAGTAGAAAGATATCAGACTTTGAAAACCTAAAGGCAATTGCTCCAAGTGATAATGATTTATATATTTTCTGAAAAGATTCCTGTATAGATGTTTGGGTTGCTTCGGATTTCAATGGAATGTTACCTAAAGAAAAAACTTACTTTATCTACTTGACAAAATTATTTGAGATTTTACCATTTATTCGAATAGTTACAAATAAGTTGCTTATGTCTTGTTCACTAACAATATCGTAATTAGCTTCTACAAAATTTCCATTTTCTTCAACACTGAATTTCATGGTGCCAGTTTTGAATTCATATGAAATCAAAACACTGTGCTTATCAACATTTTCTTTGGGGTTCATCTGATTCACTGGCTCAAGGCAAGAATGAAAAAGTCCACAGAATCGCAGTTCAGCTGGAAGGGATTCTTCCAAATTGGGTCCATTTTCGATGTCTGATATCAAAGAAATTATGTAAATGCTATTTTCTTGAAATATTCCAAATAATTTTCCAGTACACTGTTCCTTAATTTTAGAAATTCTCTGAAACGTTTATTAGAAAGTTGTCTGATTGATGAGTCTTGAAAGATACCTACCTCGGGTAGTTTTTCTGCTACTTTTATTGAGGGTTTCATTTTGCCTGAAACCTGAAAGTTTTAATGAACCCCAAACATATGTTTTTCAAAAAAGTGTCAATGTCTATTTCATATCCATTGATGACGAATGACAAGTTCGTTCGTTTGTAAAGGCACCGTAAAGGTCATTCGTGTGGATCTATTAATATGAGTTTTGTGGTTTGGTGGTCTACGCGCCGAAGAGAAGCAAAGACGATAAAAAAAGAGAAGAGAGTTTTGTGGTTTGATATCATCAGTGTTGACATAATAAAACATATATGAAGCAAAAGTTTTTGACTACATATCTGTATTCAAATTGTATTCATAAACACAACCGTCATCGGTCACCGAGTAAGATTGTTAGAATGACATCTTACAAAGAATACACCAGGTTGTTGGTATACTCTTTGGCTAGATATCCTTGGCACGGAATACCTCTGTATTCTGTGTCCTTGGCGAATGATGAGAAGACTGTGCCGCAGAGTGACGCTGCAGAACTCGGGGATTACAACAATAATTATATTTTGAATTGAAATCATCTACAGAATATCTTGTCAGAAATTTAATTGACACCATTTTCAAAAATTTCAAATGTTTGATTTTAGTTTCAGTACACCGTAACACTTTCACTATTTAGTTGGACGTAAGAAATGAAGAATATGAATATTTTTTTGTAACATTTGACTGTTTGGAATGAATTGGTCAGCAAATTGCTGTTATTAAAGTGAAGTACAGTATAGTCAATAGACTTTTACCTTATCTAAACCAGTTATGTTCAGATCATATCTTTTAATTCTAATTGAAGGACTATATTTTTAGGAGAGATTAATTTTTTAAGAAAGAAAGATTTTGGCTTGAGCTATTGGACTCTGTTACATCTGATTTGTCCAACAATGAATTTTTCTCGATTGCTACTCACAACCTATTGACATATTTAAAACACAATTTTCTTTGTTTTCATTTGACAATTTTGACAACTGTTTTTTATAGTTAGTAAAATCGCATTTACCAGATCACTCATGACTTGCTGTTGAAGTCAAAAATTCGGCTCTCGCTTTGTGAACGTGAGGTGGCATTTCAATATTCACTGATTGTGAAATTCAGAAATTTGATAATTTCGATTGGTAACTCTTCAGAGTTGTCACACTTTCTTTAAAGGATCTAGGATAGTTGATTTTTGTAAAACACTTCTAAATGAGGTAATAAAATGGTGAGAAAGAAGGACCGATTATTGTGGCAAATACAGTCGTTCAAATAGAGAGAAGAATTACCATTGTGGGAATTCTGTGGTGGCAATGGTAGTGACAAGAAGAAGAAGAATTTACTAACCTAACTGGAATCAACTTTTTGAAGTTGAATTTTTATTAAAGTTGTAGTGATAGTTAAATAGTTTCAGAGAAAGGAGTTTGTGAATCAGTTATCATTTAATTCCATTGTGCTAGCGTTTTTTCCAAATCCAAAGTTTAATAACATGACATCACGTGAAAGGTAAACAGAATATGAACGTGCTTCTCCTGTAAAATACATTTTTGCATATTTAGGTCATTAGATGAAGATTTTAGTGGATCTGATTCGGATGAGGAATATGACGAGAATGAAAGACAGCTGTTGAGTAATTTTAGAAATAGTGGAGAACAGGAATACTCAGATGACGAGGTAAGAATTCGCAGATTGAAGTTTTAAGTTTCAGTGATTTCTATCAACCCTTTGGCTACTTATAAACTGTCGGTTTAAAGTTGTCGGACTTCTAATTAATACATTAAATGTGGAGTGTCTTCAGATACTTCATACTGATAACGTCGCCGACAACTTTGTTGAATAAAACATTAATTAACTTTTCAGAATGAAGTTCTTGGGGTCGGATCAGACGAAACAGATTCAGATGACAATAAAAGTGATCTAGCCTTAAGCGACGTAGAAGGTCAAGATGAAGATGATGACTTACCAGATATTCGAGCTTGGGGAAAAGACAAGAAGAAATTCTATAAGACGGATTATGTCGATGCCGATTATGGAGGTTTTCAAGGAAAAGATGCCCATTTGGCAGAACTGGAAGAGGAAGAAGCTAGAAATATTCAAAAGCAACTTGCTCAACAGTTAGACGATGACGATTTTGGTGTGGAATTATTTGCTAAGGTAAATAGTGATTCCGAAATTATAAGTAAATGATTTGATTATTATATTGATGACGTTTTCAGAAATCAGAAGAAGATGCAAAACCTGGTGAAGAAGTTGTCAAAACGGATTTGTCAAAGCTGTCTAAGAGACAAAAGTTACAAATTCTTGAGAAAGAGTCTCCAGAGTTCTTCAGTCTGGTTGAAGATTTCCAAGGTTAGTTACCTTACATTTTTATAATGGAGTTTTAAATATCAATGTTGAATTATATACCATCTAAACTATAATGTCTTAAAGTACAGCTCTTAACTGCTAATGAGTTGATTCATACATCAAATTTTTACTTTCAGTGTGAAAAAGTTGTCAGAATGTGAATAAGTGAGAATATACCACACTTTTACCCTACTTACTATTTTATTTTTACTAGATTTGAACTGTCTCTACAAATACTATTATTTTCAGGTAAAATCGTAATTGCTAGAGATTTTTTGCGCCCAGTTTTGCAGAAATATAAAAAAGGCAAAATTCCAAATTGTGAAGCCGTTGACTTTGTGCAAACACAGTATGAACTGATTTTGAAGTAAGTAAGTTCATTGGCTGTCATGCATTTTTTCAACATTTTAATTTTTCCAGTTATTGTACAAATATTTACATGTACCTCCTTTTGAAATCTACAAAAGCAAGCAACATCCAAAACCATCCTGTGATCAAACGTCTTTTCCAATATCGACAGCTCCTCTTGCAGCTTGAACCGGTTTTTGAAGAAATCATCAAGCCTCAGATTGAACTATTGTTGAAGGAAGTAAGTTTTAGCATTCATCAGCTTTATGGAAGAATACTAAATAATTTATCATTTACTATCAATCTTAGGAAGAGTTAACCAACAACAATCCCGAGAAGAAGAAGAAAACTTTGAAACTCCTCTCTTCTTTGAAAAATAAGACAGAAAAAGCGAAGAAAAATAAGAAACAAGTAAGTATTGATGAACCTCCATCAAAGAAGATGAAAGTAGACGAAAACATCTCTGTGGATAAAGAGGCAGCGTTGAAGGATATGGAACCTGGCAACATTGCAGATTCGTCTGAAGATGATGCAGAGAAGGTTGATGAAGAGAAACCTGAAGAGACGGAAGAAACGAACGGTATGTATCTCATAAATCTCTTCAATATCCAAATTTTCAGATAATATATGATGTACCGCACTTTTTGAAATTCCTACTAAGTCTGCTATCCCTCACACTTTCAGTCGACTATCATTCAGTACCTCTTTATGGATTTTATTCACCGTTTCTGGATTCGTCACCTGATTTGTTCGACAACTGCGATGCTCGTCTTGGCAGCTTGTATTGCCTCGTTTGAACTCTGCTACCCAATATTTTACTGTTGTAAACGAAGGAGCAAGAGAGTATAATCCAGTTCAGCTTTTAATTGGTTGGACTGAGGCCTTTCTAATAAAACGATTACCAATTTTCTCCATTTTCACAGATTCACCAAATACGTTCGCTATTGATGGCTGACAAACAAATACTAAACAACGCAGCATCTTCACACTTGAAACATATGCTTTAAAGATTGTGTTCTTTCTAATACAGTGATATTTTTCGTACAACTACCGCCATCTCTAGGTCAGGTCGGGTACTTCTAGAACCACCCTTATATATTTAAGTCAAGGAAATCTGGGAGAACATGATGTTAAAAAACATCTTTGTTGATAATTACTTATGGCTTTGAATATATTCAAAATTATCTACTGGTTTCTACTGTTCTAAGTTAGTCTATTATTACAAATATTCACCATCACTTTGAAATTGAATTATTAACACATTGATTGTTGAATTTTTTTCAGAAGTTGGAAAGAGAGCTATCACCTACAAGATGTCTAAAAATAAAGGTCTCACCCCACACAGGAAGAAGGAGCAAAGGAACCCTAGGGTCAAACACAAACTCAAGTACAGGAAAGCTGTTATTCAAAGAAAAGGAGCTGTGAGTACTATTTTAGGTGAAATTTTTCAATTTACTACATTTTGTTATTTCAGGTCCGGGAGCCAAGGAAAGAGTTGCATAGATACAGTGGGGAAATATCTGGTATCAAAGCTTCCGTTTCTAGGAGCATCAAAATTAAAACATAATGTTAATTTGAAAAATTGTTTCTGTTCTACCCTTTTTTTTAAGTTTTCTAGAAAATCAAGAGTTCCCAAGAAAATTTTAGTGACTCCATTTTCAGTAAAACCAAAATTGAGAAACTATATGATACTTCATTGGGAAGAGTCAATCTTGAATAAATAAACCTGTTTTTTCTGAATGGGATAATTGTTGAGAAGAGCGTGGTCCCTTGAACCTCGGTGGCGAGGTTATACAGTGTCCTCCCCAAAGTATGCACCATATGGGAAATTTATTTATTGAGGGTTTTTCAACAAAATGTTATTCTTCATAAAAGTTTGTGCATCACCTAAAACTAAACATGCATCAACAAAATACAGTAAATCACACGTAATATACGAGGAGCCTTCAAATATTTTATTTTGAGACAAGAGTAAAGTACTCTTATTTTGAAAAATATCGAGAAATGTTATTTGAAAAAGTTGTTCAGCATTGAAAAATACATCTAGATTTGAAGTAATGACTATTTTTCTACCCATTTTTTTTAATGGTGACTCTGAAAAAAAATTGCTGAATCGATAAATAGACAGCATCCTGTATAAGACGGTTTATTTTGAAAGCCTGTAATATTAAGAATTACACAACTATGGTATTAACCACGTTCAATTTTTTTGAAGAGTAAATTGATTTTTAAAGTTTTTGGTGCAAAGTTATTTTCATTTTTTGTTAACACCGAAAATTATACAGTATTGTATGTATATTTATATTTTTCATGTTGGTACACTCGTCTCGAATATATGTTCACAGTTTCAGCTGTTTAATTGGTTGGTGAGAGACATAAAAGAAGTGTTCGGATCAAAGAATTTGCATCAAATTTCATGTAAAGAATGGAATTAGGTGCTCAAAATACTTGACATATTGTTACGGGCACCAAAAAAACCGTTGAATGATGTCAACGGCAATCCAGATTTGCTAAAAAGGGTCATAATTGATGACGAATCATGGGTTTATGGTTATGATATGGAAACCTAAGTCCAATCGTCGTAATGGAAGAGCCCAGTAGAGCCAAGACCAAAGAAGGCACGCTAAGTCCGATCAAATGTCAAGGTTTTGCTCATTGTTTTCTTCGATTATCGGGGCGTAGGGCCTCAGGAGTTCTTGCCACATGGTCGTTCGGTCAATAAGGTTAGGTTAGGTCCAAATGGGTGGGTCTATTCGACCGCAACCCGCAAGGGTTTGTTGTGGCTCACACTTATTCACACTCGACTAAATAAACCCAGCTTCTTAACGAAGCCGATTAGTTTGTATGGTGAGTGGTCTTTCAGGTCAGATGGTTTCTTCATTTTCCAAATAGAGGCAACACACACTGTCTTCCGACTGTCCGAGTCTGTGTAAATGATGATTCAAATGACAGTGACCTGTAAGAAAGCCTGTTAGACTTCGTAGTTCATCCCTTCTGTAGCCCAACGACTGTTTGGTATCAAGCTTCGGAGGGTGAATAAACGACTTGGAGTGAGCCAATCCGGGAAGATTCAGCCAGAAGTCCATAAATCTTCTTGCCATCCAGGCGTTCAATCTTTGTTTGGCAAAACCTAAAGCTATGCCAATGACACAGGTTCTGGTCCAATCAAGCTGCCTGAAGAAGCCTGAAGTATCCAGACCAGAGACAATCTGTTAAGTCTTCCTACCGAAAAAAGTCGTTTTTTGGCAATTTGCTACCAATTTAGACGTAGCTCGGCAGGAGCCAAGAGCTTCCAACACCGCTTGACTGTCAAAAAATATTTTTATTGACTTGAAGTTATGCGTTAATACACCTGCTCCCTCGTCATTGCTTATTCGAATTTTTTGTGCCAGAAACAACTCCGTAATCATGCCTCAGCCACCAGATTTGCCCCTTGCGGCGTTTTGCGACAATTGACTAGATAAAAGCCGAATCTCCTAGAGAGCTCAAGGACATTCCAAAAAGTGCAAATCAGAACTGCTTTGAGTGTATTATATCTGAAGGGGACTACTTTGTCATTGATATAGACAATGAATAAAAGTGGGCCAAGGATAGAACCTTGAGGGATCCCAAAATGAATGTTTTCGATTTCAGAATAGCTGTTGTGTATAAAAACAGTTTGTCTCCTACCATTCAAGTTCGATTCGAATAATTTCCATGCAGTACCGTGTATACTGTAAAATTGTAGTTTGTCTAATAGTACTTTGTGAGAAACACAGTCGAAGGCCTTGCTCAAGTCACACATAATAGAGTATAACAAAAATATTTGTATATTGGGATACATTGTAATTCAAATAGAAAATATACATAAAATGAAAGCGGTATGTTAAAAAAGTTAAGTGAATTTTCAGTCTTCACAAGTTATTCTCTATTTATCAATTTCTATTTTATCCCCTTTAAAGTAGTTCCCCTCAGATAAAATACACTTGTGCCAACGGGTCTCGGAGTTTTTATTGATGTATAAGTACCCTGAGGAACTGCACACCACTGATACTCTTTCGAATTCATATTGCAGAATAGTTCTCACATAATTAATGGAAGAGCTTTGTAGTCTACTCGAACGTGACGTCACAAGCGACGCCATGGCACTTTGAAGTGTTTTGGTGCGAATTTCAAACTTATAAAGTGTATTTATTGTATACTAAACTGTTATTATTTGCGGAAATATGATACCTATACGTTGTAATTATAATATACTTTCCAACATTGAGAACAGTTTTCAAAATCTGTAATCATGCCTATTGGCTTCGAAAGTAGCAGTTAAATATGAATTTTGTTAAATATCAAGGAAAGGTCACATAGTTGAGGCTTTTTTTCAATAGTTATAGAAAAATACTATAATCACCCTCAACACCAAACTTGCCCCCTGTACATTGCTGAAATATTTCTCCACGCGCGCATGTGCCCTGCGATTCTTGCCAAGATTCAAAATATTATTGGTGAACGTCTTGAATCGAGCGCGCCGGCCGCTTCGATTTGCCGACAGCATTCTTGAGTCTACTGACTGATCCCATCCCGTCACTGCAGCGTACCGTGAACCGTGACCGCATCCATTCACCGCTCACTTTGATAAAGTTCGTCAAGTGGCGTGTATAGTCGAGGCGGGCATTTCCACCAAATCGATCCCTCAACCTGTTGCCGGTAAAAATCAACCTGTCTGCTCATCCTCACGTTGTTTTGAATCGAAGTGTCGGAACGGTGTTGACAAACGAACAGCCAAAAAGGGGTGTGATTGATTCTGTTTTCGCCGTTTTGTGATGTTTTCGAATCGTAAAGCCACTGGCCCATACGGTATTATTTTTTATTTGTAATTAAACTGGAAGCCAGTGACTTGTGAAGTGCATTCTATCGTGAGGAACTTTCTAAACGTCTTTGCCGCCTGACAGGATTTTGCTTCTGCACTACTATGGAAACTTTTGCTGTGGATAAGTCTTTTTTCGATATAGGAGGAGCGGATGAATTGAAAGAGTTGTGGGAATCTGATTTGGATCCGGTTAGTAGACTTGTTAATGTATTCAAATGTTTGTATACTCAAGAAATTTAGGCTGGTTTTGCGGATCCCCATTCCAGAAAATAATATTCGAAAACTTGAAATTGTTTTGTTGACCGCAAGTTGAATAACTTTTTTTTTCAACTTTTACAAGTGTGTTCGACGCATGCAGGGCCGGGCCTAGCTTTTTTGCCGCTGTGGGAAACCCCAAAAATGCCGTGCCAAGTAAAATAAAAACCAGGAAAATGATCTCTAATGGAAAAACTATAGCGTAGGACCATAATGAAAGCAGTACCTACAGATTCACGTAAAATTATTTCATTATTGGAAATGAAAGATTTGGTATATTTTTCAATGCTAACGAAGATTGATTTGCGAATTAAAACTAGCAGAGATGATTCAAATATGGGTACCTACCTACTTTTATGATCAACAAATGAAATTAAAACATTTGATAATAGAGAAAGTCTAACTCTGAATTGAAACATTCTCTACTGAACTTTCTTTACTCCAAAGTCGCCAGTAACTTATTTCACTTTATTTTCAACGGCCAAATAGCTAACTCATTAAGGCAATTTTGAGATACAGTAACGTCAAAAGATGTTAATTTTATACCGGGATAAAGTACTGTTATTTTCAAAATATCGAAAATTTTCACTGAAATTCACTTTATTCAAACTTGTGGAACTGTTTAGGTTTGCTGTATATTTCTGGTAAAATTAATAAGCGTATTGCATATTTGTTAATTTTCTAGATACAAAGTAGACGAAGTGGAATAAATTTGTTTTTGAAGTACTTTTTTGAGAATCTAAAATGTCTAAATTTCTGACGTTTTCAAATTTTGTACCGAATTTGGAGAGAAATAAATGATTGAAAGTACAAATGTAACGAACAAGAGTACTTATTATATGAGATAAAATCTTGAGAGATGAGATCTGGTATTCAGGCTGGCTTTAGATTTGAGGAATTGCACCCCATGACTTATTCTTCCCGGTGCATCCGCCAAATAATTGACCTTTAGGCTAGTCGCGTACAATGTCCGGTCTTCAATAAAATCGAACGTGTTGCGATTTATTAGTTTCCGCAACTGAACAATATTTATCATAAGAAAATGATGTGTTCCATTTTTGATAGTAGAAAGTTATTCATATAAAGTTGACAGTGTAGGAAATTCCAAAAATCCACAGCCTTCAAACCCTGACACTAAAAATTTCGGCCGCAAAAGCCTTATTAACTATTTTGTTTAAATTATTTCATTATCATTATGAGGAGCCTACAGCATTCGTTCCAACAATCGAGGTTTACAAATAAGGCCGAAAAATATACTTTTAATTTATTTTATCAATGTCGGTTTTGATAAGATATGATTGTTAGGTATTCGAGGAAACAGCCAGTTACATCATTTCATCCTTTTACACCTTTTCATAAATTGTCTTTTATCTAAATGTATGAGTAAATAATTAGCATTATTTTAAATATATATATTGACCAGCTAGGATACAGAATTTTAAGCTTTCCAGGACTAACTCGAAATTTCATATTCTTAT